AGAATCTGATTCCAGCCAGTTCTACATTTGTCGTTAGATGAAACGTTCTTTTGCCAAACAGTTTGTTGGCATTGACATGATGCCCATGCAAACACACAAACAAAAAAATCTTACAATTTAATAAATAATATAATAACAAGAATAATCTCTGTAATAATTATAGATAACAATGACGGCAAACACGTTGTAATATATGGCTGTGTGAATAAAGAATAACGAATAAATTAGGCTCAGATGGATTGGTGGACTTACCTGTGCTAAAGAGGTGGATCTGGCTCTCCCACCCTCAGCAGTGACCCGGTCCCCTGGCCGAGCGTTCTGGCTGGAGGTGCATTTGTAACAGCTCCACGAGTGAACACGATCTCCCATATGCCCCGGCTCCTTACCCATAACCCCTTGCTCCTTCCGCTGCAGACACTGGCAGTGATACAAGTGACCACAGCTAGAAAGACAAAACACACATAACCAGACAAATAAATACAAATCCACACATGAAGAGACTCAGAGACAGAGTAAGCTTCAAGAGGCTGTGCATTACAGTGATTTTAAGACATTTCAGCTGCAGTGCCTCTTTAAAGGGTGGTTGGGATGACACGTGTAACTTTCATAAAATGTTGCCAAAATAACATGATAAATTGTCCTTTTAATGATAAATTTATTATTAGCAATAATTGCAATAAATCATTCATCTGACAAGCAATGTAGCTCAGTAATAATAGGTTATGGCTGCCAGACAACATAAAGACTGAGTGAACAGCATGTTTTTTTTTTTAATTATAATTAAAAAAAAGATATAAAATATTCTGTTAATAACAAAAATAATAAATAAAATAAAAATAAATAATAATAAAAAAATTCTGTTGATGTGTGCGGGGATATTTGACACACATTTGACCGCAAACATCAACAGAATTTTTTATTTAAAAAACCATGCTGTTCATGGAACCGGTAATATAATCCAAAGCTCATTTTGGCTCAGAATGGAGAAACTACCACATCAAACAAACCGTGAACGTGTACCTGAAGATGATGACCTCCTCTTCGCTCTCCTGCCGTCTCTTGTACTGCTGCAGGCAGATATTGCAGTGGTCCTGTCTGGGGTGGAGCCCCCTGCTGACGGCTTTACGCAGGTGCGCCAGAGACCAGTGCAGGTCCGAGTTCAGCAGACTGGTAGTGGTTTCTAAGAGGGTCTAAAGGAGAGACAGACAGACAGACAGAGATGAAAATACATACATAAATAAATAAACAAACAAATAAATAATTCTGTAGCTGTTGTATCGCTGAAACAGTTTCTAAAGTGTTAACTTTACAGGAAAAGGAAGGAGTACTGAGATTTATTTCATTAAATATTTATGTTAAGTTTTTAACAATTTCATGAAATGCTCACACAATGTTAAAGAATAGCAGACATTTTCAAATGCTGTAAAATTAATGTTGAAAAAAAATAAAACAAGTGAGATTTTAATACATTAACGACATGTGTTTGACCCTGTAGGATATCATGTCATTTCTGCATAGGTCTGAGCTAAATATGACCAGATCTTTGTTAGATGAAAAGAACCCAATGAAACAAACACCACAAACAATTTTAGTTTTTCATTCACGTATTGAACAAAATAATCTATTATATATTTTGGTTGGCCAAAGTATGTGAACCTAAGGCTGGGCAATATGACAATTATAGTTATCATGATAAATTATGTCACAGTATGAAACAATTAGCCCTCCTGATATCGTCAGTACTTAAAGGACACTTCCCAACTGCTTTAGTTTCATGTTTGATTACGAAGAGAGCACAACTGACCCTGTTTAGTTGGATTAAATGTGTGGAATGTAGAATAATAAATCATTGTACACACAGTTTGAGCACAATATAGTTTTAATTTTTTGCACTTATATGATAAGTAAAATGGAGAAAGAGTGTAGATACAAGGAGGGTTACTTAACAAAGTGTATACACCACTCACAAATCCGTGACAATTTTGGATATAGTGTTTTTGAAAAGAATAACAGCTGATTGATAGTACAAAACACATTTTTATTAATATAGCATCGATATTTCTTGGATGTGTAAAACCATTTTGGAGCAAAACCTACATACGTACTCACTGGCCATTATATTCGGTACACATTACGTTGTATCTACACTCATAGACCATTTTATCTGGTCCACTACACACCATTTCACTTCAACGTCTCATCGTATAGTGTGTATATATACATACACACACACAAACACAGCTCAGGAGACAGTGAAGGCGAAAGCAAGATGCTGAGTTACTGCCATAACCAGGCATTGCATCCAGTTTCATCAGCTTCTCAGCTGTGCTATCTGTGTGGATGTACTGTAGTGTGAGAAAGAGAGGGAGGTTTATCTCTATCTGTACTGAATTGCCTGAGAGCTCTGACTGAGGGACTGGCACAGAGTGACTGCACTGTTTATTATATACCTGCATTCTCTGTGCTCGTGTACTCTTCTGTTGTTTATTACTGGAGAGAGGGAGGGGATACAAACAAGAGAGAAAGATAAAAAAGAAAGAGGAAAAGAGAGTGAGAGCAAAAGAGAGAATAAATGAGAGATAAACAGAAAAAAGAGACAAAGAGAGAAAGAAAGAGAGAAAGAAACAAACAAACAATTGTGTGTGAGAGTGAGGAAAAAGCGAGAGAAACAAACAGAGAGTAAGGGTGAGAATGAGAAAAGAGAGAGAGAAACAAAAACGAGAGTGAGAGAGGAGAGCGAGAAACAGAAACATAAGAGAGAGGGTCAGAGAGAGTGAGAAACAGAGAACAAGCGAGGGAGAGTGAGAGAGGGAGCGTGAGAGAAGGAGTCATGCCTATCTGAAGGTCTTTCTGCAGTCTTCCACTCCATTTACTTTGAGTGACAAGCTGCAAATTCCCTTCAGTCACACACACACACACACACACACACACACACACACACACCCCCACACAAATCTTAGACTGGGTGATGTAACTGGATATTGACGATGATTGACAAATACTCTGACAACGATGCATCAACACCAATATTGGGAATGTTGGGAAAAAGACCTTAAAAAGCTTTTAAATAACATTAACCATCATATAAGTGATGTTTTACTCCTTTTTACTGTTTTTTACTGATTATTATGGGTCATTATGATATGGTCAAATAAATTACCCACTCCACATCATCCGAGAACACTTCTCAGCACTTTTTTACTGCACTGCTGTAAAATGCTGAAAATATAATACTTCAGTTTCCACAGCCGTCTATTCTGATTCCAGAGTGACCGTACTATAACGACGGCGTACACCTGGATTTTTTTAAATATGTAAAGCAGGCGGACGTGGATTTAGAAGTGACTTACAAGCACATTTTTAGCAGTCTGAAATTTGTCCACTAGGAGGGGTTAAAAGCATTTTTGTCATTTAAAGATAATAAACCACCACAAATGCACGTGTTTGCAGATGCTACTGCTACCTGTTACTAGAGAGAGAAGAGACCGCAAGAGAAAACAGAGTTTAAACAGGCACAACCTTTTAAATAAAAACAGATGTATTACATTAAATCACTCCACTGAAAAGAGCCCAATGCTGTAAGTGAAAAATCCAAACCTAATGTTTTGTTGGGTCAGGAAGCAAACTTTTAATCCAGACAAGATCCATGAAACACATGTTAATGCAAGGTATAAACAAGGTCTCAGGTAACTGCACCTACAGTCATATGCAAAAGTCTGCACACCCCTGGTCAAACAATATTTTGTGTAAGTAAAAGTAAGGTAACACATTCTCTACAGAGAACATACTTCTGCACAATTTAATGCAGAATTACTGTTTATTTGCTGAATTGAACACATTTGGGAGTAAAAAATAAAACATAAAATGTGGCCTGGGCTAAAGTTATGGCACATTTTGTATTTTATTTCTTTCACTATGTTCAAATAAGTAGCAAATAAGTAGAAACTGTGCACCAACATATGCAGAAAAAATGTCATATGTAAGTTTGTTCCGAGTACAAGGTGGGTTAACTTATTTTCACTCAGGATGTTTTCACACCTACTGAGTTTAGGTTTTTGTGACATTGTATCATTTACACTTGGTTCGACTGATTTCACACTGCAGTGGCTACAGTGCACCAAAATACACATGAGTGTTTGTTTAGTGGTTTCGCAGTGCTCTGTTACTCTCACATTTGCCACCATTTGAGCCAAAAAACTCGCACTTGCAACTGTAACAAAATTTACTTGATATATGCTTCTTTATGACTGGTTACTTTAAAATTGAAAAAACAATCAGGTCGATGATGCAACACATTCTGTTCAATCGCACTGCTTCGCTATAATTTGATTGCTTGTCTGCAGGTATAAGCAGGAGCTCATGCGGTAAGAATGATTTGAGCATCTGTTAAGAGTCAGATGATAAAAAAGGAAGGACAGTACAGAGCTGATGATGGAGGAGAGCATGCTCTGATGCGGAAATCCCAAATCCCAGCAGCAAACTTAAACCAGGTAGGTGTAAAAGTGCCCTTAGAAAACTAACAGAACAGGCAATTTGGACAAACTTTTGCATATGACAGTCCACACATTCTCTCCCCTTCTTTCCTCCTCTCTCACAAACAGACAGTAATATCATGACCCAGCTCTGCTCGGTGTCCCTGTTAAACAGCCTGAGGAACAGATCTCTGACTCTCTTCATGTCAAACCTCTCACTTCCTCCATCATCTCCCGCATATCCCCCCCTTCACACCACCAGAACATGAAAACAGATACAGGCCTGCCAATCAACAGCAGACACAGAGATATGACTGGCTGTCCCTGACAGCACAGCCAATCAGAAGCCATTTGGATCAATCACATATGATGTACCTGGCACTGTCACCGGATGAGTGTAAGAGAGAGGGAGAGTATGTTAATAGTCACCGAGAACATTCAGTAAAGGAAACACCCCAGCAATCTGCTGCACCAATATCATAGTCAGTTACCACAGACATTAATGTGGACATGTTCCCTTGTATTCAGAATAGAACAGACAATTCACTGACTCAAATATCAGTTATTACAGAAGTCAACTGGCAGCTGCCGAATTCTATGAATAAATGTTTGAGTATCAGATGAGAACCCTCAGAGCCCACTAGGCCTTTAGAGAAGGCCTAATGATTTCTGGGAACTAAAAAATGCATGTTGGTAATTTGAAGTTCATTTATATTTCATAGCATAATCATGCTTGTTGTCCGCAAGTACTGTGCTAACATGCCTATTTCACCGTTAAGTTCTGGCTGGAAATAAGTTTAAATTCTTGAAATGGAAACCTGTTCAATCAGGATTTTTTTTCTTTGTGGTATCTAAGTACATAGTAGATACTGACTGTGCATGAGTTGCAGTCTGAGTTTCAAAACGTACTGACTCACCATCCATGCAGTCTATATATGGAAACTAAGCTGCAAAAAATAGCCCATTGGAATTCACTGTTTTTGTTATGTCACAAAAACCAACACATTTAAATATATCCACGTCTTCAACCTACAGCAGTTTAGCCCACCCTTTCATGCTGACAGTATAAGGAGCACTTCAGCCTGGATTTCATTATGAATGAGGCATTATACAGGACAATCACTCAGAACATTTACATATGTCAATCTTAAAGGTACAGTAACAAAACAGCCTGTTTAATTCTAATCAATAAAGAGAGGTCATGAAACAAATTAATTCTGAGTGTGTTTGGTACTTAAAGCCTCCCAGATTAAATAAGTGAACCAAAACACACACAGAGGTGTTTTTTTTCATGTTTTTTGACCGGGTTTTGAAACCTATAGCCAGAACTGAAGGCGTAATTCAGGGGTCGGCAACATGTGGCTACGAGGCTGCATGCAGCTCTTTTACTGCTCTGTTGCGGCTCCGCAGCAGAATATTTTTTTTTGGGGGGTAAAAATAAAATAATCCTCCTTTGCAGTAAAATAAAGCTTTGCTGATCGTTCTAACACAGTTTTAGGAATAAATGGTCTTAAACGCTGGAGTTAATGTAGCCTATAACTGCTAAATCACCAACTTTTGACCCTGAAGATTGATGTGCAGACTGCAGGTCACCATAACAATGCAGCAACGCAGACAACAATCTCGTCTAGCTAGTACAGCTAGTTATAGTTAGCATGAAAAGACAGAGAGATTTAGGACAAACATCAATAACGTGGAGACGAATGGACTTATTTGCA